TACGTGGGCAGGTCAGCATAATCAGCATCTATTTCTTCAAGAAATGATGTGAAGAGTCGATGGTTGAGTCCATGACGGCGGATTAAGTTCACAGTATCATAGACATCTTTCAGCAGACGTTCAAATCCCAGCTTCTTTGCACAAAGTTGCTGTTGGTGAATTATGCAATGATACTGGACTAACTCCTTTTGCCTGTCCCCAAGGTAATTTTTCAGCAAGGTGAAAAATTAAAAATAATAATTTAATTTTAAATTTACGAAAAAAAGAATGTAAAAATAAAAGTAAATAAAAAGTTCCAATTAATTTACTACTTAAATAACCTAAATATATCTGTTTTCTTTCAAACAAAAAAAACCGCAGCTTTCTAGCTACACGGAATCATTTTACAACCCTCTTTGTTGACAAGTTTATGGCTTGACGTGGTTTGTAATAATTATTAAATCTAAAATATTTTAATGCAAATGGCTTCCTTTTAGTCATAATGACTCTATTCCAACTACAGTATTAATTTTCTTGGTCCAACTTAATAATAATAAATTTGATGTGAAAAATTTTTTCTATTCTTTGTCTATGGAGAGATATTGTTGTAAATTATTGGTTTTGTAGCTTTTTGTACATTCCTTTTTGAACTCTGGTTAGTTTTTTTCTAGTTTGAATGACATTAGGTTGACGAAACCAATTTACTCCACTGCACTCAACACTATCTTTATCCCATCCGCTGTATCCACTCCATCCACGTCATCCACACTGCACTCAACGTTACCACCATCCGCCTCAACGGACCAGAAAATGTTGTATTTAAAATGATGGTGTAAAATGTTCCCATTTACACGGTCAAAAAGAACACAGTACACACTTCCTTTCTAACAATAACAACACAATTACACTTTAATGTCTCAAATGAGCGAGTGACTCTCTGGCACTCCACAATTGAGCAACACTCTGGCACCCGACAATTATTTGATAATTACAATACTGGTTCTTGACCAGTCACACAGCTACCCACTCTGGTTAGCTCCCCGGTCAGCACTCACTTCACACACAACACTGACTCGACACACACACAGAAAGGGAAGCCCACAAATTTTCCCTCTCTCACAATTTCTCCCTCTCTAGGCGGGACAATCTCACCCCCCATTCTTGGGGATACTATTACCTCACCCACCTGACACATATGACAAAGCTGTGGACTATCCATCAACACTTGCTGACATCCACACACCTGACACACGTTACAATTGAACTTAACACAGACCATTCTACTGTACTCAGAAAATAGGGGTTAAAGATTGAAGACATCCATTCCTTTAACCCCTTATCAGTCATTGTCTCATTCCATACATCTATACTCGTGTTGATTTTGCATGACATCACAGTGAAAACCAGATTATTGGTACGCAATCATATTTTTTGATGAGAAGAAGTGAAACTTAGATGGCCTGATGGCCCATAGGCACAACCCTTAGATATGAACTGCAGTTATTTAAAAAACGAGTTCAAGGTTGTGCATCTGTTATGATTTGGGTTGGGTTTGGAAAAATTGGATAAACTGCCTTTGTTGTTAATGGGAGAATGAATTCAAAAGATTAAATAAACATAAATGGAAAAAAGATTATTACTGAGTTGAGAAAGTACTGGAGATAAAGTTTGGATGTATCAATAGGTTAATGCATGTATATATGTATCTAAAGAATCTAAATAGTAGTTTAAAATATTAAACTATAAAGAAATTATAGTATTCAAAACAGAGTTGTTTTTTAATGGATACTGATGATGACTGAATGTACTATATGGGATGTTTAAAATGTTTTACCAATAAAAAACAAGCAGTTCTTATATTAAGACTGGTTACTTGTCATAATTTTATATGGTGCTATGATTTACTGATTTTGAAGATATTAAATTATAGACCAGTCAGCATTGAGTCCAGATCCAAACCTGACAGAAAACATTTGGGAAGGTATGGTTAAAGATATTTATGGAGGAGGGAAATAGTTTCAAGATTTAACAAGTGCAATAATGAATGTGCAGAGGTCAATAACAGTTAAACTCATCAAGTTAATTGTTAGCATAGCTAATCTTATTATTAAACTTTTGGAAAATGGTGGGGAAAATTAACATAGTACAAAATTAAATCTTCTATAAAATAAAACCTCACCACAACACCTGAGCATTTGCCATTATCAGGTTCATAAGGTATCATAGGCCATTATCAGATTTTAAATAAGTTTAAGAAAATGTTCCACAACACAATGTTTTCTCTCTGCTGTTGTATGAATCTTCTACAAAATTGGATAATTGGAATCTAATAATTAAACATAAACACCTTCCAAACCAGTCCAGAGTCTTGAATTCACTTTAAGAACATTCTCTGTCTTAAGATCTGCCTCAGGTTGAAATCTCTGGGATGGAATGTTTCATTCTAAAACAGAATGCTCCTAAGTAACTTAATTTCTATGACAGACCAATTGGATGTGTTCACTCTTGATTGATGTAATTGAGATCATAAAAATATGTTAGAAATGTTTTGCCATGCATGAAATGTGTTTTTTGTTTTTAAAGTTAATGCATTGTCCTTGCTGGTCTGCTTTAAAAAATTTCCAGTTTTTCCAGTTCTTTTATTTGGTCTGTATATGTGTGCAACGTATCTTACAACTTTCAACTGATGTAACTTTGCTTGTATGTTGTTGTCATAACCATATATGGATATGATGGTGGATTGCTTCTTGTGCTCTGCTAACCATTGTTATGGGCATCTTTTAGTAGAACCAATATTGATCAAATCCATCTGGAACCTGTCATTCTGCAGTGGGATCATATAAACCTGATGCCCTGTCAATGTTGATGGGGTCTTTTCTATTATGTGAAAGATTATATGTGGTTGGATTACATCTGTTTGCATCTGTACAGATTTGAGTGCCCTAAACTTTGCTATTTCTTTAAATATAGTATGCATACCCCTCTTATAGCTTATTATTGTACAGTCAGAAATAGTCATACCATCCTCATTTCTACTTGGGCAAACATTCACGTTAGAGTCAGTGCATCCGTGTTTTTGGATTATATAGCTACAGTATGTGCTAGTTTATAGATTAAGTTGTTATGGTAGCCATGTGCACATGCCATTCCTGCAATTTGACTAAGTTCTATTTTTGTGTCCACTAAGCTAGTACAATGCGTGTGTGCCTTTTTTTCTGATGGCTCTAAAGCAGTGTTTTTCAACCTGTGGGTCAACCCCGTGTACAAGCTTCTGTGTACAAACCTGTGTTTCAACCCCGTGTACAAACCTGTGTTTCAACCCCGTGTACAGCTTCGCGACCACCCCCTGGGGGTCGCGAAGTTGTACACGGGGGGTCACGGGTAAAAGAAAAAGACAAGTGTTTGTAGGTCCTACACTACATTAAAAATACTACAATTTCAGTGAGAAGGCTGTACCTGTTTACTATACAGTACAGTTGGTTTTTTGATTGACATTTAGGTCCGAATGATGGGTGTCGCCTGGGAGGGGCCTGGGTAGGTACGGCCCACCTCAGAAAATGATTGCTGAAAAAGTGTTGAGCTGACTTGTAAAAAGAAGTAATAAGTAGAGAAGTAGAAGTGAAAAACCCTCATCCTAAAAAAAAAAATAAAAGTCAACAGCACTCCGAACCCATTGTTATTATAAGAAGGAAGTAACATATTATACGTGTCTTAAGTTATTGTCGATTCTCCTTAAAATCTCATTTTAGTCATCAACAGTAATTTCTCTCAACAGAAAGAAAATTAAATACATAATTTTTTAAATCACTGATGTAGTTTTAATATGGCCCTAGGGGGTCGCCAGAATTTTTTAACTTGTAAAGGGGTCGCGTATTCAAAAAGGTTGAAAAACACTGCTCTAAACATCACTTTTGTAGCTGTATGGGCCATTAGAGTTGGCAGAGATGTATATTGGGTGGAAACGTGGCTTATAGTATACTTTAGTATTAACATGGTTGTTAAAAAAAATTATATTTAAAGTCATGAAATGCACTTTAGTGTTGCTCATCTCATTCAGCTCAAATACTAGGCCATAAGGGTTGCAGGAATTTACTGTCAGGTTTAACCTTCCAAATGATACAAATATACACAACATTTGTATCATTTGGAAGTGATCTACCGCCACTCATCCATATATGCCTATGATAGCAACATACAAGCAAAGTTACATCAGGAAACAATTGTACAACATACATAGAACAAATAAAAGCATTGGAAACATTGGAAACTGTGTTGGGGGAGTATGGTTAAAGATATTTATGGAGGAAGGAAATAGCTTCACAGTAAAAACCACTTGTAGTTGATTTTTGCATCACTCTTGGAATGTTCACAACTGCTGTCCACGAACATCCAATTATTCTTTTTCTGCAATGCTATGACCCGATCATGCAGTCACAACAATGTATTCTTGATATATGACAGATCAGCAAGGGTGATGCATTAACTTTAAATACAAAAAAAAACACATTTCATATGCGTGGTAAGTCCTTTTTGACATTTCTTTATTATCTCAATTATGTCATTTGTGAGTGGTCACACCTGATTGGTCTGTTGTAGAATTTAAATTTAAATTAAGTTGATGTTGTTAGGAGCATCATTAAACCTTAAACATTCCATTCTAGAAGTTTAAACCTGAGGCGGATCATAGAAGTAGATCAAAAATCTTTGTGAAGTGAATTATATATACTTGTACTAGGCTAATTCAAGGTTTGGAAGGCATTTATGTTTAATTAACATACTAATTGTTGTATTTGTAAAATTTATAACAGACAGTATTATTTTTCAAATGATTAAATATAAGTTTTCATTATTGTTTCATATCCAAAAAATTAAATGACTTATTATTTACAATATATAATATACAGTGGAACCCCGGTTAACGAACGTCCTGGTTAACGACCAAATCGGTTAACGAACTTTTATTTTGCAAAAATTTTGTCTCGGATAACGAACATAACGGTATTTTGTGTCAAATTTTAGTTGGTGTTAGGCATGCGCGAGTTAAGCATTGCTTTTCCGAGTGTTTGTGCTATATTTCTTTTTTCAGTTTTGTGATTTATATATTTAATCAATATGGCATCAAAGAAAGAAAAAAGTCATAATGGCAATAGAAAACGACAATGCGCTATCACATTTCAGAAAAATTTTGATTAAAAGAGTAAGACAATCAACTTTAGATCAATTTCTTGTTCCTTACGGAAAGAGTTTGTTTCTTTGTTAAGTTATGGCAGCGCAACACTTGGGCGATCTGACTAGGGGGAATGCCTTCTGGGAGGTGTTTTTAAGGGAAACTGGCCCCTATTTAGGCGTTACAGACGTGAAGAAATCTTGGAAAACTCCACGTGGCCAGCCCGTCTGAGCAAGGTGCGAATCCACGAACGAACTCCCCGTGTTCAAGGTACGAAGACCACTTAGCCACTGGTGGGTTTTTTACCAAAAGAGACTTTGACTTGAAGAATCTTCCGATGAAGTGCTACCCGTTATTTTTTTTGGAGGGATTTCCCTTCTAAGCATTAAGGTTCGTATATCTCCACTTTCCTGCCATCAACTACAACAAATGAAGGTATTATTAAACAAAGTTTACATGTTTGTTGCTGTAATGATAGATACTACGTTTTCCTACATTTTCATCAAAGAAAATTACTGTATATTTCAAATAAAATGACAAAAATTTCAGAGACTAGAACGGATTAATTGCATTTGCATTAATTTCTATGGGAAAAATTGCTTCGGTTAACGAACAATTCAGTTAACGAACGGAGTCGCGGAACGGATTAAGTTCGTTAACCGGGGTTCCACTGTACTTATTATTTACAATTAAATCAAATAATTACATATTTTTGAAAATATAGTTATTACAATATTATGCAGTCTCACTAATTATAGTGATATAGAATGATATTTTGTATTATCTGTAACAGTAGTTTAAAGTTGTATTCTAATTTAAAAATTACATATTATACTATTTTTATTTTTTTTTATTCTTTTGTTCAGTTTTGATAATATATATTAATTAATAATATTTGCCCTGAAGCTGAATGCTATAGAAGATTGTTGATGATTTATATTAAGGAAGAAAATAGTTTAATTTAAGCAGTGAATTTATTGTTGAACAATTTTTGTGATCTTTTACAAATGTTTACTTTATAAGAGAGATTTGTGTAATATATTAGTTTATATCTTTACAGGAAAAATTAGCCAGATGATCTTGCTATAAGATATGCTGTTTTCAGGGATCCCAAGTTTGATTTAAGTTGAAATCATTATAAATTTATCATAGATAGTTGAGGAATAGTTAATAATGCCATAACCTTATCTATCTGGCTAACTCTATTGTGTATCAGGCCTGTCCATAATAAGCATAATTGAGGCAACTGTACAAACTATAAGTGTTTGGGTATTGTGTGAGAAAAATCCAATCCGTCATCTACAGAAAAACTTATAATATGATTATTACAAATATAAGATTATGATTTGTTTGGTTATTTTATATTATATATTATTAACTTCAAATTTGTTTCATAACTTGTATATGTGCATTATAAGAAAAATTATATTTTTATGTATGAAAGTAATAAATTTATCTTTTTATTTTTTCTAGTGGACCATTTATCCAAATATCTTGCAACTAGGATAGCACTAGACAGAAGACAAGATGATCCCACTTCCAAATTATTATCCGAGTTATCGCCCTTTTCTATTTTTATAGCAGTTTCTCACGGGCAGTTTCACCTATTGAAGGGAAGCTTAACCTTAGATCAAGTAAATGAAAAATATTGGAAAGTAAATAAACCTTTGGAAATGTACTATGCATTTAGAAAATCTTGAAATAAGTAAAAAGAAATCAAATTCAAATAACTCTATTTATTTTGTTAATACTTCATTATTCTATATAATTTTGCTATTGTCATATTCTAGTTTGATTACAACTACAAATTGTCTGTCTCCTTTAAAGTTTACAGTGCAAATATATTACAGGGTTTGAGTAGTTTGACTACATCTAACAGCTTATTCTTATAAAAATTCCATTAATAGTTCATGCAAAAGTTTATTAAATCTTTATATGAATTTAAATCTTATTTTAATAATACAGAGTAATTTATAGCTGTATAATATCGTACATTGAAAAATAAAATTGAAATTTAGAACAAAGAGTCTAAAAGTAATTAAGAATATTAAGAATACATAATTTTATAGATGATTCTTGATTATATTTTAAGAATATATCATCAAATTTTTTAGTATCTCTTGGTTATCTATGATTGCAAATTAATTGGGATGTCAAATGAAACAGTATGTGGCCAAAAGTAATTGAGATGCTGAAATAAAGAATGAGCAGAATAAGAAAAAAAAAATATTATACAGAAAACTATTCTGTAAACATATATTTTACCATCTGGCTAATTTTTTGAAGGAATTCTGCAGGTCTACAATACCACTAGTTGTCAAAAGATGGCTATTATTATGTTCATCCAAAATGTGTCAATTCATTTACAATTTTTTTAAGATTCCAGAGGTTTTACTGCATTGGTTGGGCATGATGTTTCAACCCTTAAATATTTGAATTGTTTAAAATCAGGAGAGCTTTGTAGCACTGACAACATTACTAACAGTTATGTTCTGATGCAATTTCAAGTGACAATATGCAGTTTGTTTTATTTTTTTATTTGTCTCCAAGAAAGTAATTGCAATTCTAAAATTAATTTATAACTTAAATAAATGTTTAACAGGCTAAATTAATAAAATTTATTTAAAATAACACTTTAAGTGTTTGAAGTTTAATTTTGATTTCAAAGCCTATAAAATAATATTTTATTAATTACTAAATGATTACTCGATTTTTCATTAAGCTATATTCATGCTATATAGCATGAATGTTGTATAGTAATTCTAATATATTAGACATATAAGTTATATATTAACCTTAGTTATTCTGTAGTCAACCTCTTAAATTTGCACATTTTCATCAACAGAATATAGGTGAAGTATGTATGACTTTTGGATAAGGCCAACCTATTTGTCCATGGTCCGTTTTGTCACTTTTGCTTACCAAAGGCATCAATGTCAATAAACATTTGTTGGCATAAGTACCCAAGAGAGTCTTCTGGTAAATATGACCACATGTAAGAGTGTTTACTAGCCTGTGAACCATTGTTGAAATCAGCAGTCAGTTGAGCATTTGTTCATGATAGCATACACTGACCTTGTAATCATGCAATCATTGATGAGATGTGGATATCCAATGCCTTGTTATGTTTGTTGTTTGTCCATTTTTGCATCACTCTTGAAATGTTCACAACTGCTGTCCACAAACATCCAATTATTCTTTTTCTGCAATGCTACGGCCCGGTAGTGCGGTCACGACAATGTGCCCTCGATCAAAGTCAAATTAGATCTTTTGTCTATCTTAACACTATAAATTGATTGCACAAATGTCACATAGAGTGCAAAAATTCAATGTTTGTAATCACTCAGACTTTTTCCATTATTATTTTTACTCCATTAAGGGAATTTTTTATTATTATAATAATAAACATTTGAAAAGTAACATAAAATAGTGATCTAATATGAAGGAAAACAACTAAACATACATAAAGTCAAGTGATTTCAAACATGAATGTTCATTATTACAGACATTTGTGCAGCCTGCACAAGTCTCACTATTGAATTTAAATTAATTTTTTGTCAGTTGTGTCTAAGTGGAAATTTTTAGTTCATTTTAATAGCATATGAGTTTCGTCACGACTATATGAAATACACATATAGTTTTTACGGACATCTCTTTGTTATTGTATAGTTAAAACTGTTTCCAAGAATGTCATCTCATTTATAACACAGTGCTTACAGAAAATATAACAGCTCAATTAACAGTAGTTTACAGGAATAGTTTTTCTGTATATAGATTTATATAGCTTTAACACAGAATAGATCCGCATTATATTTAGTGAATGTTTTGAAATTTTGTTTTATGCAGATGGCAATTTAATAATATAAATTGTTTTTATATTCATTTTAGATAACTGAAATTTTATCAGATATATATGGTCGGAGAAAAAAATAATAATTAGATTCTTATTTGCATATTATTGAAAGTATATCGAATTAAAGTATATTCAATAAAACGAGTAGTCCTGATGAGATAATAAAACAAATTATTAGGGTGTATTCTGATTTCATGCTTAAGTTCATCTGTTTATACCTACATTATGCAGAAGTAAAGACTCTATCTTACACTTACACTTAACTAGATAGCAATTCAAACAGCTGGCCGTATGCTTTGACCATTTTGCATCAACTACTGCATTTATTTTTCAGATTCTTGTTTATAAATTTTTACAACTAGCTTATTCATTAAGATTAATGTTTTATTAAATTACAGAACTAAACCCTTCTTCTAAACAAATAACAAAATTCTTTAATGGAATTTAAACTACATTATATATCAGTATTAATTTCAATTGAAGATAAGAGATATGAGAAATATTAGAAAATAATGTAATTATAAAAACTTTATAAATCAATAATTTGTGGTTATAAATCATTGGATTACTTTATGGAGATCTGAATTAGTATATTCTGTTAATAATAATTTTACTTGAATTTATGTACAAAAAAAGTAAGGCATTTTTGTTTAATTTTTGGAAAGCTGTTTGCTAGCAGCATATACCAAGAACATAACTGAAAATTTTCCAGTATGAAAAAATTCAACTATGATGCAATATAGTTATTTGAATGACAAATTTTTCTAGAGTGAAACTTTTTTATAAATGATCTAATGGTATTAGTTCAAATAATTCAGTATATTTAAATGTCTGTTATTGTCAATAAAGATCAAGCATTAATACATTATTTAAATTTATAAAATAGAAAACTTTGGTAACTCATCATCATACTGTACTTTTGCAGCATTATTGTGTAAAAAAGAAATGATTGTTTATTCCAAAATTTTATTTATCCTTCGTCTTTTTACCGCTAGCCACCGAAGGTAGGAGGAGGTATTCAATAAAATGGAGATGGTTGGAAAATTTGCGACATCTACAGTCCCCCTCCCAAAAGTTACATGCGTCTATACGTATGCTGGCGTATCAACTCTGGAGCTTCTATGTATTGCATGCTGCGGTTTACCAGCTTAAAGACCAATACCAGCTCTTTACGCATTGATTCAAATAGTCCTTTTATTTTTATAATAAAATTGTGAGTCTTGATAAGTTTAACTTCCATAGTATCCAATTAGTAATAAACAAAAACACAAGAAAGTATATTATCACCATTGTGTAGTTTTAAACATAATTATTTTAAAAATTATGGTGTGTCACAGGAATCTTATTAAAAATTTAAAGTGTGTCGCTAATTAAAAAGGCTGGGAAACTCTGTACTAAATCAACAATGGGTGAGATTGGAAAAATGTCTTAGGTTTTCAACCCAGTTAACGCAACGTCCTCAGTTGTGGGCTATCGAAAATTGAATTTCAAATATCGATAATCCCAGAGAAGACCGCGCACACTTCGTGCACAATTCGTGCAATATTGCTTTGTCGCACACACTCGTGAAACGACCTTATATCTCGATAACAGTCAGATGCCATTGGCATGCGGTGACATTTGATGATAGGGAAGCTGGCGCTGGATAGAAACATTGGAAATGTTATACAATATTTTGGTGTGTACCATCCACCAGCTAAACCGCGAGGTTGGTGCGCTCTTTTACACCAAGTATTTTGGCTGTGGAAACTGTCCCGTATTCGACAATACAGCACTTCCATTGGAAATATGTATATACGAATATACAATAGCAATCTTATCGTTTTTTTCCCACATGTTGTATAGAAATCTGTAATAAGATATATAATGCGGTTATAATAAAATATTAATTTTAATTAATTCAGAGTACGTTAAAATGTAAAAATAGTCGCGCATGTATTTATATTTTAGAAAATACAGTACAAGGGAAGCCGTGCTTCCACAGCTTCTATAGACGGCACGCCACTGATAGACACTGATGTTTTGTTACAGTTTTTGATTCTTCATCGCAATTAATGGAGAAAGGCAAAGTTTCATCAAAATCGATCGAACAGATTTTGAGAACGAACACAGTTCTGTAAGCCACATAGAAGAGGCTTCCCTAACGCTCCGCCTCAAATGTATTCTTATTTTATCAAATATCTCCAAATTTCTCTAATTTTGCAATTCAAAACGAAATAAATTTATTCTTGTACTGTATTATACCGAGAAACTGACATAGCTTTTTATTTTGAAATCTATTTCGTTAAAGCCGTGAAGTAAATGTCAGAATAGCCTAATAAGATACTCTTTTTTGGAATTATGTAGGAATTCCGTGGCTTGAACTAATAGGAACGTGCACGTTTCACGCTTTGTTCATGCAGTTTACGGCATTTACAAAGTGTGAAACCATAACCATGGAAGTATGGAACCAAAATGGCGATTACATTAGGAACACCGGTGTCCCGACCTGGTGTTTATAGACCAATAAATAAATTTGTACGTGGCGCCATCTGTTACGAAATTGTAGTACAAAAACTAAAACTTTATATATTATTCATTATTATAAAATATTGTGTATTATTCTTTTTATTAATCATTAATTATATTCTATATTTAGATTTATTTTAAAATTGATTAAAAAAGTACAGTACTTTATTATCAATAAACAACAGAGTATGTTTTTACAAATAATCAGATTTCTTCTTTAATCAAAAACTGTTGGTTTAGCCCTACTCTTGCTTGTTCTCATTAGATAAAGAGAGCTTTAAATTATCAATATGGAAACACAGTTTAAATTTCTTTTAAATTATTATTTTTAAAATAAAAAATAAACAATTAATATTTAGTAATGGGGTATGTGCTGGACGTCAGAGGTGTGAGTGAACTTTTGCTGAAGAGCAAATATTGGTTGTTATCAAATTGGAAAGGCCAGTATATAGCAAAAAGAATGGTTTAGTTGGCAAGTTGGATATTTATGAACTTAGTTATGTGTTTATTGATTCGTGCTGGAATGGAGCCTAATCCAGGACCTGCATCTCCGTTCTCTGCAGCAAATGTCTCAAGCGGTTATGCAAAAAAAGGGGGTGAGGTAGACCGAGCAAGTATAATTCCAGGGAAATGGAAAAGCAATAGGAAGTTCTAAAAAGTGAAGAATTTCGACAAGAAGAATAGTAGTATTGTAAAAGTAGTTATGAGGGTACGAGAAATTAAAAAAAATTCATGAATATTTTATAAAGCTAAAAGACACTGAACCAGAGGTAAAGGTAGAGTCCCAATATACGTTAAAATCCATATATGACTTAATTCAGGGGAATTTTTTACGAGTTAATGCGGAATTACAGGAAATAAAGACAGAAATCAAGTCATTGAAAGACGAAAATAAATATTTTCGAGGAGAATTAAAAAGACTGCAACAGAGAGTAGAAGATATACAAGTTATATCTAACAAGTAAGAGTCACCGTCAAATAAAAGGTATGTTAAAATTTGAGTTGGATAAATTGGTTAACGAAAGATATAATAATAATATCGTAGTCATGAATTTTCCGTTTATTTCGTTTAATTATTTCAGGGAAGTTAATCAGTTTTTAAAGGTAAAATTAGGAATATCTAATAGCTTGATTGAGAGCTTAATTTATTTGACTAAAAATGAAACAAAACAAACGGTGAAAATTTCAGTAGACACTCGCTATACTAGAAATTGTTGGCTACCTAAGGTAAATCTGACCGAGTAGGGTTAATCTTTTTTTACAGAGCAAAGGTCGCGGCTATATACAATATGTATAATTATTTTTATGATTTATTGTATTGGAATGAGATATGTTATGTATTGTTTAATGAAATTAATGAAAGAGTGGTCAGATTATTGACGAACAGAGTATACAGAGGTTTAAAAGAAAGATATATCAGAAGAATGACATGGATCATGACAAAACAAGTAATAAAAGAAAAGAAAAAGAACATAAACCCATTTGTTTTATGGCAGTGGTTCTCAACCTTTTTTGTTGATGTACCCCATTAGCCCATTAATTGTTTCTCAAGTACCCCTTATATTCTTGTATGTAAATTTTATAATTACTGCGTTAGATGTATACAGCCCTTATAACTGAGCGCCATTAGAAAACTCTAACTAACTATAACTAACTACTTATTTTACGTAAATAATAATAAATTTAATCAGGTACAGTACATACATTTATTTATTATTATTTGATAAGTATATTATATAAAATCACAGAAGTCATTTCAATACATGCATAAATTACATTTCCTAAAAATAAATAATTATAATTAACAATAAAGAAAATTTAAATTATTCTTTAATAATTTCTAACAAAATTTAATGGGATATTTGTTGCGATAAATCTTCAGTAATTTTTTCAAAATTTGGTTCCCACGTTGTTAAATAGAGATTAAAATTGTGTACTGATCTTGAAAATAATGGCTGCGAATTTATAACGTGCAGAACAATACATGAATCTTTCAATTTTTGTAACAAATGTAATGTCTAAATTCGCTAAATTTCAAGTAATGAACACATGCAGTGACACGCATTGCATGGTGAGGGTACATTCCAGGCCTCGTTGTTTCTAATACCAGTAGTCCAGTAAAAACACGAAAAGCCCCAATCTTATCGAGCAATAATTATAGAAAAAAAAAATTTTTTCTATTCTATAATTAATGCTCGGTTAAACAGTAATTTTACTAGACTACAGGTTCACTCGGCACTAACGGAGCAAATAGTGGATAAACAAGTTGTTTACACTGTTAAAAGGGAAATCGGTGTTCACACTGGGATATTTTAAAGCAAGTTTTTGTCGTTTCTTGTGTTAATAATTTACAGCAAATTGATTAACATACGCCATTTTATAATAAAAGTTAGATGTACCCCTTCGATTTACGCTCGTACCCCTAGGGGTTCATGTACCCCCGGTTGAGAACCACTGTTTTATGGGATCAAGTAGACATTCCAACCGAAATCAAGGAAACTCTCAAAAAGGGCCTAACTTCGTTCCGGAAGACAAAAACTTATGGCAAATTTCAATGGCGGAACTAAAAAGAGAAATGTCAGAATTCAATGATTTAGAAAGGGATTTCGTCAGATGGAAGATTGTTCTCAAAGACCATACCCCTAGAACAAAAAGCATTGAAATGAAACAGCAGAAGCACGCAAAACAATGGTAAATAACAATGACTTGGTCCTAACACGAGCTGACAAAAGAAAACACCTAGTCATCATGAAAAGACAAATTACAGTAGAGCCTCGATTATCCGACCCCGCTTAACCGACACCTCGGTTAACCGACTGTCCTAGTCGGCAAATTTCAAATGTCCGCTGGTGATGTGGCGCTACTACAATATTTGGCTATGTCTTGGCTACTTTAATATTATTTTTACGTATATTAGCTGGCAACACTCATTCGACCATGAAAGGGAGCCAGTATTTAAACGAGGCTTAATATTCTAATTTTTAACGATACAATAGCGACGATTATTATTTTAAAAAAATTTTGTTAGGCTTAACATCGATGAAAATTCAACGCAAAGTAGATTAATAGCGATATACTAATACACTAATTACATGGAATATAACAATATACTACACTAATAATAGATTTTTTCATACTTCTCGGTTATCCGCTCTTTCAATTATCCGACCAACCCCAGTCCCCAATTAGGTCGGATAATCGAGGCTCTACTGTATAGGTGTTTCAACGAGATATGTCAGCAGCAGGGGACAACTTGAGTTAGAAGTCGCACTTGTTGCTCTTTTTTTTCTAATACATGGCTTAACTAACACGACTAGAATGAAGTTTCTAACTCGTTTTAAATGGACGAATAAATCCATCTGAAGAGAAGTGTTTAGTCACTCGATAGATCTCATTATCTTCCCTATATTTCAGAACGTATAGTCCTTGTCACGTGTGAGCTCTTATCTGTAAAATTTTGGACACTTTAAATTAACAAAAGTTCAATTTTATTAATAGATTGGTAGTTAAAAAAGGGGGGTTACTGTATTTCGAGTCTATTTTTTTTCGGTTCGGAGGATCGTGATAAAATGGAAACTTTTATTCGCAGACACGAGAATATTAGATTTGTCAATTGATATTACTGTCAACACGAATGTATATGTAAAGAAAGATCCGCGAAAATCTCTCTTCCGCGACAGGGAGGCGCAAAAGTCACGAAATTCGGTGAAAAATCCAAACGTTTTACACTAAATTTCGTGGCGACGCAACAATAAAACTGCGACAATTTGTTGCGAGCGGTCGATTATTGTTATTGCGAGCGGTTTGATTTTTCTGTTCGTGCGTTCAAAAGTGATTTATTCGAAGCGTTTTCTGAGTTTTGCATCAATTGCAGCCATTTTATCGGTAAGTTCAGACCACGAACTTTCTAAATCTAGGTATTTTTCAACATTGTTAAGCCGAATGTCGCAATTAGCGGCAATGATTTTTCCACAAAGCTCCATTTAGATAACAATTGATGGTTTTGGTCACAGAGACGAATGGGGTCTTCCCGCTCATTTTAGGAGATACTTTTCACCCTTTTTATTGTTAATTTTCCAATCGAATTGTTAAAGATTTGTAATTGCTAAAGCA